TATTATTTCATTACATGTATTCTACATCTGCTGTTCCATCATCCCTCTTTATTCCAATTAATACACATAGTCCATTGCCAATGCTACTAATAACTTCTCCATCAACTGAAATATTAAACTTTGACTACATTGTTGTGGAATATTGGAACATATTGCCACAATTTAAGCTCTAATTTATATCAACATACATCAACTTAGTTACATATGTATAATTTTTTTTCTTATGTCTTCAAAATGCAATTTTTGGCGATCGTTTGGTACATATACCTGGTTGTCATTGGCCTAATTTATATCAAACATTTAATATATGTACTAAATATCTGTACAGTATAAATGTCCAAAATACAATTCTAGAGACATCGCAGAAATTTCTGGATATCTCTGGAAGATATCTTGGATATTTGTGTTGTATGAATATTTAATCATACATAAAATTTTTTATGTAAACTTGCCCAATAATAACCTAGTATCAAACGATCGCCAAAAATCACCTAAAATATAAGTGCATATTCCAAATTTTTTATTGATACATATAGAGTACACAAATTTAAAAATTTAGTTGTGACATCTGTGTACTCTAAATGTTTTTAACATTTAGAATATTTGTAACTTAAAAATTTTACCTAAAACCGAAGCTTTCGATACACGTTGTATCACTGCTTTCATGTCGAAAGTGACAGTGTCAAATGTTTCATCAATAAATTTCTTTCCACTCACTCTGTTGCAAGTGCAAATACGATTGCACTTACACAAAGAACGTTCAAGTTTAGTCTACAATAAAGACTCTTGAATCAGAGTCCTGCAATGACGTTTTGAAAGTTAGGTCGGTAACGCTATTGCAGGATTCACACTGCGTCTGATTTCCGACTTAAGCTCGTATCAGATTATGGTTTAAAATTGAGATTGAATTGAAAATTGGTCAATCAGAGCAAAGTTCACCAAACTTGAGCTTAGTAAGTTTTGCTCTGATTGGCTAAATTTCAATTCAATCTCAATCCTAATCTATAGTCTGATACGGGCTTAAGAGAACAGCTTTCTAATAGAAAATTCAATTCTCCATTAGAAAGCTGTTCTCCTATTGGATATCGGACGTCGTACGTCGGACATCGGACGCAGTGTGAATCTTCCATATGTCTTGTTAAAAATAGGAATGCCATGGCTACATCCGTTTTAGGCGCTTATATAGGATTTACACCGTATCCGATGTCCGACGTACGACATCCGATATCCAATAAGAGAACAGGGTACTTATTATGGACTTCTTTGGAATCAATTCCGATCGAAAACATTCAGTTATTTTCTAGATTTCTATTGTCTTTTTTAGGGGAAACGGAATTATTCCGATCGGAATGATCCCAAAGAAGTCCATAATAAATACCCAGCTTTCTAATATAGAATTCAATTCTCCATTGGAAAGCTATTCTTTTATTGGATATCGGACATCGTACGTCGGACATCGGACGCGGTGTGAATCCTGCATTACCGACAACTGTCGGATCGGTAGACGTCGTTCTGCAGCTTTTTTATACCATAGAAAAACTGCGCAACGATGCCTACCGATCCGACAGTTATCGGTAAGAGTGTACGGAATAGTACCCCAGTGCTGAGATTCTGTAACTCGTTATTGGAGTTAACGACAGTTTTGTTATCGTTGCGCAGCTTTTATACTGTAGAAAAGCTGCGCAAAGATAACGAAACTGTCGTTAATTCCAATAATGAGTTACAGAATCCCAGCATGAATAAGAGAACAGCTTTCTAATAAAGAATTCAATTCTCCATTGGAAAGCTATTCTTTTATTGGATGTCGGACGTCGTACATCAGATATCGGACGCGTGTGAATCCTCCATTACGCAGAAATAACTAAATTTCAACTGGTTGATAAATATCACGACCAATCACGACTTGATTTTGTTTATGGTTACAAATATGGATATATTTACGGACCATTGGACCCGCACTTTAATAGTTATATAAAAGTCTGTGGTTCCAAAACTCTACTCGACGAATAGAGAAATATTTAATTGACCAATTAGAACAAAGATAACTAAGATTTCTTTATCATGATTGGTTAATTGAATGTTACTCATTCTCATCCGGGTGCACTCTATTGCACTTGTTTCCGCAAGTTAGGCTGATATTATATATGTTATACAAGTTTTTCGGGTACATTTATTGGTTGACGAATAGAGTATTTCTAGGTTCTCTGAGCGTCAACCAATGAACGTATCCAAAAAGCTTGTCGTACGACACATGTAATTCAGCTTTACGCCGCATGGAGAGCCTAAATTTCCAGGCCAAAAATTAAGAAGAAGAACATTTCTATATTTCTATATCTATGTTCACTGAAATGTTATTTAAGTTTGTTGTTTCCCTCACAATTCCCTCTTTCTGGTTTCTCTTTGAATGAGAGTACATGTGAGGAAGAGGACACGTGTTTTGTTTGACTTGTGAATTTACTGTGATAAATATTGTAAGTTACGACAATTTTCATAGAGAAATTTGGTATTTTTATTGTATATGCGTGTTATTTTGAAAATTATCCTCAACTAATTTTTTAATTTATATTTTAATTTTACAATTAAAATTAGTCAAAAACAGCATGGCTTCGTCTAATTCGGATGTTACGGACGATACGGACGATTTAATTGTGAAAAGGAAAGCTGGTGGTAGTATAATTGATCAGCGTCCGTTGTTTTCCAACGATGGCGAGTGAGTATATATTTTTCAGTTCGTTAAAATTTTAATGGTAATTATTTAGTTTAGCGGCCTCACCTCCGATTTCGATGAAAATAGACTCAATCAACGCGTTTTTGCATGCCAAATAACTTTTTCATCTGACAAAATCGTCGCTCTTTACTGCGAAGCGAGATATTAATAGACAAAGTTAAGGGCGTGTTAGGTTAGAAAATCTGTCATACCATCTATCTCTAACTATATAACTGGAGGGCTTCGCCCCCCCAGACCTCCCTATCACGGGGGGTAGGGGCTATAGTCTCTTATGCTTAAGCTAAAGTGAATTTTTCATAAAAGATTGTAGCTCCGACCCCACCGTGTTACGGGGGGTCTGGGGGGCGAAGCCCCCAGTTATATAGCTAGAGATAGATAGTATGACAGATTTTCTAACCTAACACGCCCTCAACTTTGTCTATTAATATCTCGCTTCGCAGTAGAGAGCGACGATTTTGTCAGAGGAAAAAGTTATTTGATATGCAAAAACGCGTCGATTGAGTCTATTTTCATCGAAATCGGAGGTAAGGCCGCTAAACTAAATAATTACCATTTTAATAAATTTATTATATATGTTATTTTTTATACATAAATTTTTTCCAGAACTTTATATTTAGTGAGAAAAAATGCTATAAGGGTGTATAGCACGCAAACGGGAGATTTTGTGCAAGAATTTGAACCTTCTGATCATAGAATAGTGGGTATACAAATGCATCCAGGGAATGATTGTGCAGTCATGGGATGTACTGAAAAAGGCCAATTGGATATTTGGAGTTATCCAAGCAGCATTATCATTAAGAAATTGGTAAGATTGATTTTAAATATATATTATAATCAAAATGAGAAAGTAACAAATTATTTATAGCAATAGTTGCTTCATCATATAAATAAATATCTTATAAGGAGAGATCATGGGTAAATGTTTACATTTACACGGCCAGCTCTAAATGATTTCCGAATAATCTTGATGTTGACTTTGATTCTCAAGGAAGTCAATGCTATTATCTTTTATCGGCATTCATGGTTTGTTAAAAAGTTATTAACAAAAGAAGTTGTATAAAATAAATGTAATTTTTGGACACTATATACAAAAACATGGGGTTTGTAGGCTAGGAAGGTGCCAGCCATACGTTCATACACCACGTACACACACACACTGCACCCGACCCACCTGGCCGGGCTCGCGGTGTATGCGTGTTTTCCTATTATAATTAAAGTTTTATAAATACATACTTTTTCTCACATTTTTGTGAGAAATTCTCACTCTTTAGCTTAAGTCAACAGACATACCCCCCTTTGCTGCAGTGCGGGGGCTGGAGGGCGTAGCCCCCCAGTTACACGGCTAGAGACAGGCATCTTTTTTATTAATATCTCAGAAACACACACACACACTATAAGCAACCATATAGCCGTGTTTATATTATTAAGAAAAAGTGTGTATTTATGAAACTTTAAATATAATAAAAACACACGCACACACCGCATGTGCAGGCGAACAGTGTGTGTCTGTGTGTTACCTTTTTTATTAATATTTCGGAAACTATAGAAGATGCGCAAATATTTTCGTATTTCCATATAAACTGTGTGTGCAAAAGTTCCATTAAACTTCCAAAACTTTTTTGTTAATAACTTTTTAACAAACAATGAGCACCGATAAAGATCAATAGCATTGATCTCTTTGAGGGTCAAGGTCAACATCAAGGTTACTCGAAAATCATTTGGAGCTGGCTGTGTAAAGGTAAACATTTATCCGACTCATTTCTAAGACATAACAATAATGAGAGTTATTTTTAAAAAGTTATTTATCCTGGAGTTATGAGTGTATATAAGTTTGCTATATAAATTTATACATATTTTTGAAACATAGAACAGATATATAAGATATCCTATTTTAACTGAAATAGTTGAATAAACAATAAATTATGTAATAAACATAAAACATTTATAAATGTTAATATCTTTGCAGCCACTAAAATTAGAAGGTGAAAAGGCAAAAGTTAAGACTTTCCATATTATTAAGTATAAGATATCTCAAAGAAATGAAGTATGCGAAGCATTAGTAACTCATCTCTCTGAACGTAATAGCGTTAATATACTTTCATTTGACATAAAGGATGGAACTCGTAAAAGTACAAGAGAAATATTTAAGTAAGAAACAATTTATATAATATATATAATAGTAAGAAACAATTTTATATACTTCTTCTTTACATATGGTAATCATTGTATACATAATTGTAATAATTTTTTCAGCATAAAATCACAAGAATATTATGTTGATGTAATTGGAAACCATGAGAATAATTTGATAGCACTTTTGCATGACTCCAATTTACACATAATAAATCCAGCCAGTCTTATAGAAGACATATTGTAAGATATCTAGAAACTATGATTATGTTTATTAAAAATTTTGAAAAATGACTATAAATTTTTTTACAAAATTATTTATTATATTTTTAATCTGTAAATATAGACACAAGACAGGTAAAACAAATAGATTGCCTACTTGTATAGCAGGACATCCTGTAGAAGAATGCGTTGCCACTGGAGATAGTACAGGTCGTGTAGTAGTATGGAGGAATTTGTTTCAAACCAGACCATACACAGCTGTCTTTCATTGGCACACATTGCCTGTTAGAGTAATAGCATTTAGTAAATCAGGTAATGGATATTCGAGATTTCTAAAGTATACTACACATCTTTATATAACGATATGGCATAATTTAACATACATATTTATTTTATTAGGTGGCAATATGTATACAGGTGGTGGTGAGTGCGTGTTGGTAAAGTGGTCTCTAGCAAATCCTTTACGACAATCATTCCTTCCGCGATTACCGGCACCTATTAAACATCTCACTATTGCGCCGGATAATTTATTTGTAGCTGTGTCGACGATAGATAATGGTAAAATACACTATATTATATTTTATTAAAGTTCCTAACAATAATACACATTTATAGTGACTAATTTTATGTTGATTGATAATAGGTATTCTTATTGTGAGTCCTCAAAAAAAGGTGACAGCAGTGATACAAAGCTTTACATGGGGGGTTGCACCTTTCTGCAAAGATTTGTTTCCTGCAGGACTTGTCGTCGATCCGAGGACAGGTAGCCTTGTTCTGAATAGTCGCACTGGACATGTGCAATTTTACAACACTCACACAAAAAATTTATTGTATAATGTAAGTAAAATATTAAATATAGATATAAGGGAAAACAGGAAAAAAGAGATGAGAAAAAAATAATATCTGTCAAATTTTATAGATCGACATTACTGCACAAAATTTTCTAACGCAAGAGCGTGATGTAATTATTGTAAATACCGAAGTAACAAAAATTGCTCTGAATCATGACGGCACATGGATGGCAACAGTCGAAGTGAGAAAAAATAGGACATTCACAGAAGTTAGATTGAAATTTTGGAATTTTGATCCGAATGAGCAGACGTAAGTATGCAGCACGAAAAAATTCACTATTAGTTATGTTTAATCGAACGAAGCGCTCATTCAGTAATTATTACTTTTAATTGAAATATACTTTTAAACTTATGATCTAGTAGTATATTCCAATAACAATGAGTACTTGCTCAACAATTGTATTGTCTAAACACAGCCATTTGTTCAACTGACAAAATAAATAAATAAGATCCAATCACAGAAATTGATGCAACTTTTTAACTTTATTTGCGGGAAGGTGGTATTCTTTTGCGATATATACAGTATTTGCCGAAAATTTCTCGGATTTATAACGTGCATGGAGTAACTTTGACAATAATTGACGCAACATATTAGCCAATATAAGTTTAAAGAAGGAAATAATGCATGTTTTAGTTTGCAACATTTATTTCTTATAATATCACAAATATTAATAGTTAATTTTCCTACTTGTTAATTTAGATTTAAACTGAATACATCCTTTGAACGGCCCCATAAAGATGGTGTGAACGCACTATATTTTCAGCCAAGTCCAACATGCGATGATGGAGAATTGTTAGCGGTTACCACTGGAATGGATAAAAAATTTAAATTATGGATTTTAGAGCCGCCTACAGAGGGTATACAAATTTAATTATTTATTTTAGTTAGAGGAACATCATCAAAATTTAATAAAGTCCTAAAGTCTTGTCTCTTCTGCAGTAAATATAATCACATGATATTTTTGCAGCAGAAGAGACGAGTCGTTGGTACTTATATAAAACAGGAGACTATCGCAACTTAAACGCTACGGATGCTGGTTTTGCCTTCGATGGTTCGTTATTGGCTGTTGGTTTTGATTCTACTGTGGCGTTTTGGATACCTGAAACTTTCGAATTCAAAAAAGCTCTTACACATGGATGGTTTGAACATCCGATAAAGTAAGTCGAAATATAAAATATTTTGACCTAACACATTCGCACTTTCTAATTTTATTCAGCACGTTCTTAAATATGTAAAATAATATAATCACTAATTGTACGTATAATGAAAATGTACAAAACAGACGAATAGAATTCGGCAAAGAATTCGAAGTCGGTCATCTTGTGGTAGTTGCGACTGGAGAGTACATAATGGTTTGGAACATACATAATTTGAGAGTAGTATGGACCGTACCTTTGGATGTCACCCACCTCACATACGACCCGAAGTCCATATATATGGCAGCACTTACAACTGACAATTCACGTAAGTCTAAATCATAAGTTTATTTTAGTATGATTTGTCTCATGGTTTAATGAATAGCTGTATTGAGCTATTTAATTGACTGCAATGTATTTCATCTTATATATAAGTACATGTTCCATTTCTCTCTCTCTCTCTCTCTCTCTCTCTCTGAACAGTTAAAGTAATTAATAATTGATCACCATGCTACGTACCCCTTCAAACTTTTCAAGTTATAAGTAGGTTTTGACAGAAATCTGATGAAAATCGAATTGTCCTAGTTTACAAGTTACTCGACTGTTCAAATAGTACGATACCCTGTTGTATTTTCTTAAATTGAAGATAATGTATTTATTGTTAGTATATGTGTTTTTATATCATAACATTTGATACAAATCGAATTATCTTAGTAACGCTTATGAATTATTCAACTGTTCAAATTAAAATAGGATATTCTGCTGTATAATGCATTCTCTTAGTATAAAGATTATTTACTTATTGTTATATATATGTTTTTTTTACATCACAAGATCTGATAAAAATCAAATCGTCCTAGTAATTTACGAGTTACTCGACTGTTCGAATTAAAATAGAACTCTCTGCCATATAATTTATTTTTTTTAATATGAGGATAATTTATTTATTGTCAGTATATGTGTTTACACCACTAAACCCAACACTTATCTACAAGAAAGAAGAGTTCATCGAAAGTACCAGTTCCATATTGGCCGCTACTTTTGTACCGCATATGAAGGAAGTACGCAATCCATTGTTTGGCAAGTGGCAAGCAAAATCGCAACTGTATTTTTTGGATTCAAATCAGGTACATCTCAATTTTTACAAATAGAATACTTTCATAATTATTCAGTATTTATAGTGATATTCTACTGATAGTGCGTAATTACTCATACATAATACAGGTAGTTACACACAATACAGTCATTTACAAACAGTTCACACGTAACATAGTTATTTATTGTTTTTGCTTGTTCTTTTTCAAAAAACTTCCTGAACTGATGTACACTGATGCAGTAAGTGAAATATAATATACTTGTTTCACTCCAACTTATTGCATCAGTTCAGGAAGTTTTTTGAAAAAGAATAGTTCTGTCGAATTTTTTCCGGAATGTGTTTATATGTGTGCTTATTATCTTCTATTTAGGAATTACTCACATTGGAACCAGCATCTGAAATGAGCATTCCTCTAGATGTTTATCTGAATAAAGGAACCACGCCATTATTTGATTTATCCGCCTCTACATCGGGTGCCTCTTCATCAACCAAAGAGCAGGATATTGCGACAGATGATGAAAATCTTAGCGAAGCGCAAAAAATATTGAAATATGTAGGTACAACTTTGGATTTTAAAACTTATTTTATGCAGAAATTCTTCTACAAGTCGCGCATTTTCTTTTCGCTACTAATTTTTTGAATTTGGAGTAAATTTTATTAAACTATATTTTAATATCCGACTAAATTTAAAACTTAAATTTTAAGTCATACGATCTCTTAGAAAAATTACGATAAGAATTAATAGAAATATCCTCCATGATATCTAATTCAGATATGCGATTTCTAACACTTTTAATATATTTTTTTATATTCAGAACTTTTTTCTGAAAAAAAAAAAGATACGAGAACAAGAGAGAAATGAAGGAGAAATATATGGGGGTTTTTTTAAATAATAATTATTTTCAAATAATGACTAAGTAAATTTTGAAATTTTTTCTTAACTTTAAAAATATCTTTCATAAATTTCTAAAAATTTTTTGAGAATTTTGTTTCCACTAAGAGGTTTCGGAACGTCCTGGCGCGTTCCGCTAGAAAAAAAGCTCTGCTTATATTTATATACCAAAGATGTTCTTCTTTTGCACAAAAAATAATTATATTAATAATTTTAGTTATACAACGAAGAAGTTACTGTTTATTACTGGAAAACATAATGATATCATTATGTATGAGATCAAATTTACATTAAGTAGGCGAACAAAAGTAATTTGCAAAATTAAACGCGAATTAACTAAATTAAAATAAATATGAAAGTTGATATTTAGTAAATGATATAAAATAATAAATGGATTTGGTAAATTAACTATTTATATATATTTTTGATAAAATTATATATATATATATATATATATATATATATATATATATATATATATAT